CAACTCCCAGAATTCTCCAGCCAGCTCTGCTGGCTGGAGAATTCTGGGAGTTGAAGTCCACAAGTCTTAAAGTTGCCAAGTTTGGGTACCACTGCCCTAAGGAGCCAAAGCCAGCCAGCCTCTCTCGGCTTCAGCCTCCTTGCCCACAAAACCACATTAACGGGGCCGCTGAGAGACGGAGATCCTCAGAGCAAACGAATAGCAAGGTCACCTTGTTTTCAGCGCCCTTGTAACATTGGATGGTCACTAAATGGACTATTGTAAGTCAAGGACTACATTTATTAGGTTAACTTCCAGCTGAAGGATGTTATTTTCTTCAACAGAGAACACATCTACTGACAAAAGAGTTATCCTACTATCCTATTTGACTAAAGGCCTTACGTTGAAGAGGTTGCCCGTCTTCCTCCCTCCTATGCCTATACGATGCTCTTTGCGTTTTCAAAATAAACACACATATTCTGTCTTTAATTCTGTCTTTAATTCTGACTGAATTGTGAGCTGCCCTGAGTCCCCTTCGGGGAAAAGGGCAGCATAGAAATATAATAAATCCAAATCCATCCAAATCTTTAAAAATATTCATCTTCCCCTTAGTTATAATTTAGTAAGCATAACCCACAATAGATTCAGAATAATAAAAGTTCATTCGCAATACTTTGGCTTGAGTGTTCTATTTATATCTCCTGTTTTGCTATACAAAGCTTCTGAAACAAACACCTTGATTGACACCTGTCACCTCCCCTCATTTTGCCACATTCAAGCACATGGACCAACAAAACCAACATTCTCCGTTATTACCTTCATTTTCCTGAGCCTAGACTTGTTATCGTGACACCAAGCTAAACAAGTCATGGTTTCTTGCCTTTCCAAGGATTCCTCTACTTCTTTGGCGGTTAGGAACATCTCAATATTGACCAAGTCCTAGAAAAGCGGGAAAGCGCAATTATTCACCTGAGAATCTCCGTCACTTACCTTCCCGGGAACATCACGAGAGGACCAAGGACTTTTTGATCAGAACGGAAACCAGAGGACCCATAAAAGGGGAATATTTGTAGCTCAAGTATGGCAAATGGAAGGAGGGCGTGTGAGAGAGGGGAGAGTACAGGAGCCGAGGTGGCGCAGTGGTTAAATGCAGCACTGCAGGCTACTTCAGCTGACCGCAGTTCGGCTGTTCAAATCTCACCGGCTCAGGGTTGACTCAGCCTTCCATCCTTCCGAGGTGGGTAAAATGAGGACCCAGACTGTGGGGGCGATATGCTGAAGAGCTCTGTAAACTGCTTAGAGGGCTGAAAGCCCTATGAAGCGGTATATAAGTCCAACTGCTATTGCTATTGCTACAGTGTCCTTCAAAGGTTATATTGGAGACGCCATCATGGATTGGCTGGAAATGTCAAGGCTTATTGGAGGTTTGGGCCACCTTGAGAGTAAATGCCCAAAGGCCTCCAAAGCTTTGACTTTCACAAGAAAGAAATTTCACAGCTCCCATTTCCCAAGAGTGCAGGCGATGAAGGAAAGCTCCAATATTGAACACTAGAATATAATATTTGCTAATATTCACAAATCAGTGGGCTCAGCTTTTTTAGACTCTGGGACGGCTTTTTAACTTCACAACCCTGGAAAACACTCTGCAAACAGACAAGAATGGTCTG